GGACTAGTGTTGTCTGAAAGCTGTGGTTCCTGGCTGTTTACTCAACCAAGGTCCAGCCATTGTTTCTCACAGTATTGTTTTTTTTTTAGTATTTTGCCTTTTATCATCATTATCATTTCATACCCCAGAAGTATGCTTCTTTGGGCGGTTTCGTTTACGGTGATCAAGCTGTTCGTCAAGAACCTTTCCTAACAACTGTTGATCCTGCATTACTGCTAGAACTTGTGCTTTTTCCATGTCTCCAATCAATTTTCAGCCAAATATCAGGTGAATATGGTACTTTTGATTCCATAAATAACATTTGTTTCTGCCACTTGCCATGTGCAGTGTATTTTAAAAACTGTTCATCAATAAAGTCAGAAATTGGTGTCCATCTATTGATTTTGTAGAGTTGTTCATTGTTGATTTTGTATGCTTTTGACAGTTCATGAAATGTTTTTGGTCTTTGGAACTGAAGTTGAAACCTAGGTAGCGAAATACATTAACGTGTTCTAGTTTTGCACCATCAATTTCATAAATACTGTCTGGTTAATCATCCAGGGAATTAAATAACATAGACTTTGTTTTGTCCTTTGCAATGAAAAGACCAATCTTTATAAACACTCGATTTAAGATGGCAAGTATCTGGTAAAATTTTTCAGCGTCAGTCTCGAAAAAAATAGAAGGTCATCAGCATACAAGATCTTAATAGTCTGCCAATACCTGTACCTCTTCTTGTTTTTCTCAATTCCCTAGGATTAGACTGCGTTGGTATGTGATACTTAAAATTAACTCCGTCACCAATTTCAAGTTTTCATGTCACGTTCTATAACGAATAAAATGTAATCAAAGAATACATTGAATAAGAATGGCGACTCCTCTGCTCCTTACCTCACCCCTGACCCAATATCGAACACTGTAGAGCCACCTTTGATCATAGCCGTGTTTCGGTATAGTAGGATTTGATTATTTTTACCAACTTTTTGGAGACAAGTTGGATTTCAAGTATTCTGTACAACTGTTCACTTGAGATGAGATCAAACGCACTTCTACGATCTAGGAAAATTGCATGAATTGGAAGATTTTTCTTCTTGATGGGTTGACGAAATGTAAAAATTGCATCGATAGTTCCAGAATTTTGGCAAAATCCAAACTAATCGTTTGACAGTACATGGTTGTATCGTTCACTGATCCGAAAATTGATGATTTTTGTCACAATTTTTGACAAAGTTGCAATCATTGATACTGGTCTATTATTCTTGGCGATGAGAGGACTTTCTTTTCGTACAGAGTTATGATTCTACTGATTAACAGTCACCAGGAAGAGTGGAATTATTCCTGACAATAATGGTGAATTTCAAAATCAATCCCACGAAGTTTGAAGCAGATTGAGCAAATTTTATTTGTTCATTAGTGATTCCATCTGTAACCTTAGCTTTGCCATTTTTTAATCCATTCATAGCACCCATCACTTCAAAAAATGTTGGCTCAGACTCATCGATATCTGGGGCTGTTTTAACAGTATCAGGAATAAATTTCATCGAGTTCTATTGTAAGTTGGAGATTCCGATGTTTGAATGGTTTGAAAAATGACAAAGTCTTGCTCAGCACATTAATCTACACATATCATATCAGATAACTTGTATTTGCTTCTTTTCAATAGACTGTTTACAAGGCAGATTGTCCCACTTTAACAAATCGTAACATAAAGCACTGTATGTTAATTTCGGTGTTTAAACCTTTTTTGTCTGATATCTAATTGTCATTGGCATTTACTTCGTCAAGTAAACCACAAACCAATCAAATGTGGCACTTACACTACAGTATCAACATACTGCTCTACACATTTCCTTATAAACCCCAGGGCAGTTAACCTGGGCCAAAAATGTCATACAGGTTACCGAGAGAACCAACAATGCAAACTATCACTTCACATTTCCACATTTTTCACATTTCATATAGTGCAAGTCCATCATTGGAACTAAATGGGACACCCATATTTAGGGGACACCCCTATTAAGGGGACACTTTTTCTGTGAAATGAGGGGAAATATATCTTTTAACACTATGGCCAAAGCCTACTATGGGGATACTCCTATTAAAGGATGCCAAAGGGTCAAATAAACCCTATTAAGGGGACAATTAATTTTTTTCCATTGTATCAACAAGTGTGCAGTCTCAAAATAAGAAAAATTCATTAAAACTTGATATTTCGACACCTTTTGAGCAATAAACCTCCCCTGAATCCTTAGAGTGAACATCGGTATGTCTACTGCAAGTTTTATGTACCTTTGTATAAACCAATCTTGTCAATTTTGACCCTTAACCATGGCGATTTCTTTTTCTTTGTTTTTTTTAGTGTACTTTCACGATTCTAATCCATACTATGCACTTACCGGTAATTCTAATTCATGCTACATCTATGCAATAGAAAGCTAAATATTTGGTAATTAACATCTGCATTACGAAATAATAATGAAAACATAAGCTATTGTTAATATATTAATGAAAAAAAATAATAGATGGATTTATATAGAGCAAGAGCAAATAAAGGTCTCTATGCGTTCGACAACAGGTAAGAAGACAACGAAAAAAATGACATTTCTGCTGATTTCACAATATAAATGAATTGTATTTGCTTTGCAAATTATTGATATAAATTATAACTGATTCTTATGACAATAAAAATATAATTGTATGAAAACAAAACCCCTATTAAGGGGAAAATTTAATATTTTTTGGTTAGTGGTCCCCTGAATATGGCTACCCCTAGTCTGGGGAACACCCCTATTTAAGAGGACACTTTTTAGTCCCTAAAGTGTCAACTTAATAGATATTTTACTGTATTGTCATGCAATAAATTATCCTTTAATGTGTTACCTTTGTAAAGGAAGATTCATTCAGAAAAGCAAGTGGACCCAAACTCTTCTTACTTCTTGGATAGGAGTACAGTAGTATGTAGCATAATCATACCTACTTTTTGTACGTTCACATTTAAATAATTTATATTCTATGAATGAGCTCTCATGTGTGATTGGTTGGTCATTCTGTAATTCGCAATTAAATCTATTCATGTACACTGACAGTCTGTATTCTACGCACGTGGAATTTAAGATATCATTAAAGGGCAAAACGATTTAAATCTTTATGGAATTCTATATAAATCATAGAAGGATAACCAAAGAAATTATTCAAGTAAGAATTGATAGAGATAATCTAATCATTCGGAACCATGCTAGTGTAACATTGCAAACTGGTGTGTACTGGTTACATACTATGATAACAGTTTACCTATCTTGTACGACAGGGGAGGGCACACGAATTGGTCAGAGGGCGAAACTGAATTTTTGATTTAACACTGAAGGCCACAAGCAAACTTGAATAGAAAATGTGCTTGCTACATACACACTTTAATGCCACTATATGCTTAGTTTTAATATTATTTTTAGAGATTGGCACCAGGCCGTAACAACTAAGACATGATAGACGTCGGCCGCATATATAGGTTTTTAATTTATTTTCGTGGGCTGCAACAAAATTTAAGTTGGGCTACATGTGGCCTGTGGGACATACTTATCCACCTGTGTTGTATTGCACTGGTGTGACATTTCAGACTGGTGTATATTTGACTGACATGTAGTGAATACCATACTGTCTTGTACCTGACTGGTGTAGAGTAAAACGTCCATTTTATGTACCCCTTGGTACCAAGGGGTATTCATAAATTAAAAATTTGTAAACTAGATCGGGTGTGAGTTTCCAATACCTAGGCTAAACTATCCCCAGCCATTGAGCACCAATAGGCTGGCGGCGGCCTGGCCTAGCACAAACCGACAGTGCAGCAGCCTAGCTGAATTTACCTTCAATAAAAACGAAAAATTATTTTAATTGCTGGGATTTTCCACTTAAAAAAATATTATTTGAACTTTTATTCAAGCATCTGTATATTTTATGGAACTTTTTCTTGTGTTATTGCCAAATAGTGTTGTTTACTTGCATTTCGTGACCATATCTAGCATTCATGATGTCAATAAGTTGCAGACCCCAACACTGTCGTTCCTCATTGTAAACATGTGCGCTCAATCTGACGACACTTGCGTTGGTAGTTCGTTATTCTGGTTAGCTTTATTACATTAACATAGTGATTATTATACCAGAAATGGAAGAAAAGATCAAACTATTAATAAATAAATAAATATAACAAACTTGATTTTATTTAGAAAAATATACATTATCACTTTGTAAAACATTGATGTAATGAGGGGAGAAGACTATTCGTATGGACGTTTTACTATACTATCGTAACTGTCCACAATATTATATAGCCAAAATTCAGCTGACTACACCTGACTAGCGTGTACCTTACTGGTGTGTATCTTACTGACGTGTACCTATTGGCGTGCATCTAACTGGTGTGTACCTGAATGGTATACTATTTGTCAACAATATACAATAGTGAACATTCAGCTCTGAATCTATATTTCAACTGACTACACTTTGACTGGTGTGTACCTTACTGACATTTACCTTACTGGAGTTGAATAGCTTGGTGGTTAAGATGCTTGCCTTCCAATCCCAGGGTCATGGGTTCAATTCCTGTTAGTTGCAGGACTTGGTTCTCACAACCAAAACAACTCCACTCCCTGAACCCCAAATTGAGATTTAGTTTGCGTAAAAGCATCAAGTGTGTATGTTTGTGTTGTGTGTCGTGGACTGTTTTATGTTTACTGGGCCCTCTGGGAGAACAGTAATTTGTCACTGGAAAGGAAACTCAGTATAAAGAATAAATAAATAAATAAATGTATCTGATTGGTGTGTACCTTACTGGTCTGTACCTGATTGGTGTGTAACTGACTAGTGATAAAGGCTGACTCGTGTACTATTTGTCCACAACATTCAGTTTTGGGTTCCCTCTTTCAATTTTCTGTTAGCTAAAATTATTAACAGCTATTCTCACGTACCTCTTTAATATGTAGAAAATCCTTAGCATTAAATGAAATGGCGTAACCCTGCACCGGTGAATCATCATCTAAACTTCCGTCAAAACTCACATTTGTTCGTACGGCAAAAGCTACTGGTTTTGTCTGTAACAAAAATATTCAGATTCAAAAATTAACAAATTTACTAATCTTAATTATTTGTATTGTTAACTTGTAACAGAATAATGTTTTAACTATTAATAAAGCTTTTAGCCTTTGTTACTATAAATAATAGTGCCTTAATTTTCTATGAATTTGTATTAATATTATCATTAAATTTAAACTCATATAGTGTAAAATGCAAATTTGTAAACAGTTTACTATAACCTCACCACAAACAAGTAAATGGAGTAACATTCCATAACCCAAAGAACACAGATTCTGCCTCAACGATAGCAAAGAACATTGTAAATCAAAAGTTTAAAACTAAAAAATAAAAATCAATATAGGAAACCCCAAAAATAATAAAAGTAAAAAATAAGCTAAAATAAATGATGAGAAAAACAAATATATCAAAATGTTCACAATTTCTAAATACTTGAAAGCAAAATGTAACATAGAAATAAAACAGTATTGAGACTTTTGTCGGCTTTGCATACTTACTAAATTTCAAAACGCTGTACAAAAAAAAAAAACATTTTTAAATATGTTCCAGTCATTTGTTCGTGATCTTTATCTAAATGATCATTAATATACCATTAAATATGTACTGCCTATCCCCTCCAAACTAAAATAAAAAAATAAGGGAAAACTGCAAGAATTCAACTAAAACTTTTAATTACTTACGTAAAAGGATCAAACATGTTATTAATTTCAAAACAGAAAACAGATAGACATTTTATTACAAAAATCCTTAAAATTTATGGGTAATGTATGCATAAGAATGCAGGAAATTAAGAGCCCATCAATTTAACTGATTTTCTTTAATTGAAATTGTTATTTTTAAGTTCAAAACCTTCTTAACTATACAAATTATTCAATTTTTTAGCTTATGACATACCGTATATCTAACCTTTATCATACTGTATCTGTATAAGAATAAAATAAAAGCAAATGTATTTATTATCAGTATCCTAAGAATAATCACCACATCTCTATTGACATTTTGGCATTCATCAGCATTATCATAATTTAGAAAATTATCATCACTTTATCATAGCAACTCCAGCATTTGAGTTGCCATCATCACCATCCTCAAACTATTACTAATTAAAACCACTTAATTTTTTTTTGCAAACTACAGTATGACCATGATTATCCTTATGAACACTATCATTATCATAGCCATAATCACATCATTCTTCATTGCCTCACCTCATCATTATTAATATTGACACCATATTTTACAAATTTTCAAAAATATTTTTAGTTAAATAATAATTACTAAATATGTTAAGTTACTGTAGACTCTGTATTTTATACTGATATGAATTTTACAGGCAATACTATACAACAGAACTATTTGCATTTCCATATTCTGAGCCTTCATCGTAAGAAATGGGATACAGTAGTGTATGTTTATGATAATGAGGTTGATATTGTGTTTGGTGTGCGATTATTCAGTACAGCAGTGTAAACCAATTGCCAGAGTCTATTTGTATTACATATTTTGAATACATGACATATAACTTTAAATGTATTATCTCTAACATTGAGCTTAATAAGGTTTTTCTTTTTATATTAAAGATATTTTTTGAGTATAATCTCTTCACTAATTGGTCTCATATCAGTATGAGTTGAATAACTTAATGATCAGCTGGATTGTACTATTTATTGATACAGAGTTTTTTATATTTATTATTATTTTATTATTTATTTTATGTTCTGTACTACGGACTCCATATCTGAAATAAAGTATTACAATTTACATACAACTTACAATAAGAACAAATTAATTGTAATTGAAATAGTAGTGCAGTTAGCTAAAATATATCAACCTGTTTTACTATTTAATTTATATTTGTAAGATACTGATATCTACATGGATTGACCTATCATATTACTGTAAATAATCTATATCATTTACTATTCTACATCATTAAGTATCCATATCATAATCATACTAATCCATAATGCTGTACTACATCAATTCATAATCATATCGAATACTACATAAATTACAAAAGGGCCTGAACCTGTTTGATGATGAATGAAGTCTTCTTCCCTGTTATGCTTCTAATGTTTTTTAAAGACTGAAACATCTTAATTACCAAGATCAACTTTTATACAGTATTATTCATATTATTTGTAAATTTATATTATTATTACCGTCATTATCGAAACTCCGTTATTTTCCTATCCCAAACCATGCACTAATTTTTCTGACGCGCATGTGCACAGATTTATCATAGCAACCGATGACCGCTACAACAGCAGTTTGAATATTTTACAGGCTTACTAATATTGAAAAAGGGTGATCCACTTATAAATCAATTAGTGTAGTTCTATATTCATACATTAACAACAATTTGTGAATTTATTATAGTGCATAATGTAAAGACGCGCTTTTATAGGTGATAAATTATTCTATCGATTTACCTAATAAAAATAAATAGCTATATAAATATTTAGCTATAATTCATTTGAAAATACAGTAATTCTAGGTTTTTTTCATCTATTTAATTAATTTATTTACGAAAAATTTCATTTCTTGTCCTTATTACCTTTATTTTCCTTTTACATTTCTTTTCTTCCTTTTTCCTTTCTTTTCTTTCATTTTTATTTCCTGTCTTTCTTCTAATTTACCCCTAGTATATTTTCTTATTTTACTATTTCTTTCTTACCTTCTCATTTCCCTTTTCCTTCTTTTATCCTTTCTAATATATTGTTTACTTTCTTGTTCTTTCCTCTCTCATTCTTTACTTTTTCTTTTACTCTTCTAAATTTTTTTTTAATTACTAGAGTATGATAACTATAGTAATTACCTATTAGTCTGTTTAATGTACCTAGATACTTATTTGCTTATATCTGTAATTTACCTACATTACTAAAATTAATTTACATTATGAATCTAAAAAATTTAATATCAATTTTATTAATACTGATTAATATGATAGCTTATTATTAGGTAATTAATGTATGATTAAAATAATTTTAATATTACAACAACTAAAAAAGAATTACAACAAAGATTCTCAATTTATATGGTACTATTTTAGGTTTCCCTTTGCGTATGTTATCGATGTGAATAAAGGACTAGTATTATTATTTTTACACTTGAGGTAAGGACACAAATCATTAACAAATCTTGAGACATTGAAAATAATTCAGATGGAAGCCAACAAACATGATTAACAGACTTAACAATATGATTCCATTTACAAAACATAGTAGTCTGTCTATAAGATATGGTGGCTTAAATATTTTGCTTTCCATAATGATTGAGACAGATTACTTTACATGATCCTAGCAATATGCTGGTTTCTCTGCATAATTAGCAAGCAGCTTGCTTGAAATTATGGTTATCCATTTCATCTGATGCATGAATAAATATCTATCTATCCAATAAGTACATTATTACATCTTTTTACAATTACATTTTAGAGATTTGGAAAATACACTATTTATTTGTTTACTTCTAATCTGTAAATTGCAAATACGCATGTTGATAACAGACTAATTCTTTAGGGATCCTAGGTCTGAATATGCATGTGTCGAAATTCCTCAAGTCAAAAAACAGTTTAACATCTCTGACCATTTCATTAATTCCAGATTAGAATTTTATTTTTCATGAGTATTCATAAGCAAATCCTAAAATGTCTCAACTAACAAAAACCCCTCACTATAATATAACAACAATAACAATAATAATTAATTTTGGAGACTTCTATAGTGCCGGTATCCATGATTCAGTGCTCATGGTGCTTTTGCCACCCAGGCTTGAAATTGAACGGAGAACAAAGCAACAGAAAACCAGGTTTAAAACTTGAGTAGGCCTATGCGGGGTCATCAAGCCTGAATTCAGTCAGTGAATATTTGGAAATTGGCCATTCATGACCAAATCTCTGATAATAATAATAATAATAATAATAATAATAATTATAATAACAATAATAATAACAATAATAATAACAATAACAATAATAATAATACCTTTCTTTCACAACAAAAACTCATTCATGCTCTTCCATGGATTGGATTGGACTTATTCGGTGTAAACACCAAGGATAGCCCACGAAAGTCTAGAAGAAGACTTATTTCCAGTGGGTCCTTTTGGTGGTGATTGGGCAGTACACCGGGAGACAATCCCCTAGTCTTTTTCGAAGAGTGTACTGCGTTCTGTAACGTGCACATGAGCCATAATGCACACGACCAACGGCTTAAACGTCTCATCCGAAAGACAGTGCGCTATTGTAACTTGTATTTCAGCCCTCTAGCTGAAACACAAGGAGAGGCAGCGATGGGAATTGAACCGGGGACCTAGAGATTGCCATGGTTCAGCGCACACACAGTGACTACAACCAGATTAGCCGACTGAGCTAAGCTGCTCGCCATGAGGCCTTATCATGTACTATACAAAAACAGACTAGAGTAGTCACCACCAGAGTGCATAACTCCACCCTGTGCCTGGATATCGAACAATGTAGAGTGAATCCATTATTTTCTTTTATGCTTGGGGTTAAGTTTCAAGAGGGAAACCACCATCAAATTTCTGTGACCTTAACCTTTTCTTCCAGTCTCTTAGATTATTATGTACCATTCCACTAAATCTTATGATGATCCATTCCTTAGTTTCGCGTAATCTTGCTAACAGACGGACAGAGGTTAATGAATTAGGATACTGATTTTCTGAAGATTAAATTCACCTGTGTTTTTTTTATTAGTAGACATTTAGGTTTAACTTGTGAGCTGTGTGCTAGGTATTGAGTTGGGTAGTTTTATGTTTACTAGACGTTTTAGGTATCTTTAGGATCTAACTGATGGGTAGCTAGAACGTGAACTAAATGTATGTACAGTACTCTGCTCTCTTCTACTCAGGCCAGTTTAACCATGATTGGCTACTAGCGCAGATCATTTTAATATCAAATGCATCAATTTGAAGACTCGAACCTTGGTAAGACAAGTAAAGGTGTAAATTTAAGGTTTCTGTAAAGCTAATTTATTTG